GTATTTTCTGTATTTCTGATCCCAAACTTTTAAACGGCAGTGTATTTCGTAAGTGATGATTCGTTTAGGATTTGAAGCCAGTGGTACAGGACTGTGGACCTGGCTGGTTGAGTACAGAGAAACAGATGGCAGCTGTCTCCGATACAGCGCTGGCCTTGATCTCTGAAATTTGGGAAAGGACATGAATTACTAAACACTGAGCAGAGACGTGAGGATGTGGCAGTAGAGCTCCAGCTGTTGTCCAAAACATGTGCTCTGTGAAATCTTTCTGGCTGAATGATGACAACTGCAAACAAATATAGACAAGATGTCAGAGTGTTCAGTGCAGAGGATCTCAAACCTCTTCAGATATATGTTCTCAATATTACTAAAGCCGACTGGCAAAGCTGGCTTTGATTAAGGACACATTCGAGTCTGCAATAAAAAATAGTAAAACTGTTTTACAAAGTCTAGTGTAAAACACATTCTACGTTTTTAAAAATGTACTTTTTATGATTTTTTGTAAACTGTTATACCATTTTCAAGAAAAGTTTTCAGTTTAATGACTCAAAAATGTGATGTGGTGTAACCATCAAGTAAAAGTTCATCTTATTCATTATTTTCAATTCATAAATATCACACGTTTTGGGGAGTTGTACCACATGACATTTGACAACCTTAACTAACCTGGCCATGCTATAGAATATTTCTGGACACTTTTTGACATTGACACACAGTCATGATGTCATTTCCTGTTGTTGTTGGGGTTTTTTTGTTGTTGTTTTTTCTGGTTGGTTGCACCACATGACTTTTATTTGTGCAGACAATTGTTTGTCAAGTAAGGGATAATGTACATCTAGCTGGTTGTTATCGCAGATTAACCCCGGAATTGTACACATTAATTGAATTAAGTTTTAATATGTTAGCTAACCAAACGCAAAGCTTCCGCGAAGAAAAACTGTTCCTAGCAAGAGTATAGCGCCGACTTCAGTTTCCCGGATTAGCCGGTGTTATCAGCTTTTACTGGTTGTTATCGAGGAATAACACATACCTTGGAATGTCGCGACCGACCAATCAGAATCAAGTATTCCACAGAGCCGTGTAATAAATATCAAAAAGCAGTGAAGCAATTTAGTATTTTATAAATAAATAATTATAAGAGATTATGCCAAACAATTATTAAATAGTTTTTTTTATAATTAAGTTTTCTATTACAACCTTCTTTATGATGTCAAAACAGTTCAATCAGAATTATTTGACTTTATTCCCTTAAGAATAATTCAGAAATTAAAATATGCTTATAATAGAAGTTGATTAAAGTCATTGTAATTGTGTATGTATAAACTGCATTTTTAAAGTGTTTCTGAATTAAACAATTAGCATTATGTCATTGACCCATACAATAGTCTTTCTGTAATGTGTTTCTAATTTTTCTGCAAATTTATGTTCTCTATCATCACAGTAAGGAACGAATTTGTCACCGGCCCAGGACTCATGGACGTCTGTTCAATTTAGTTTGTTGGAAGAGCCGAGCTTAGTAGGATCCATCAATTGATCCAGCGCTTGTCCTTAATGTGAATTTACTTTGCAATAGCTTTTAAACCCTTGTTAACCCCGAGGGGAATCTGTCACCTGTGTCTGCTTTGTAATCTGCTTGGTGTTTGCCGCTCAAATCTTCAAAGTGACCTACATCTCAGCCCCTTTGGTCTGTTTGTCTTTTTTGGGCTTGAAATTTGGCCTCTCAAAACAACATATTACAAAGCAGGCTGTCCGGTTCGGTTCGCTCGCCAAGGTCTTCGAGAGCATGGGTTGTGGCACAGCATTCAAAAGATCAGTTTTGCTCATATCCTGCTTCAAAAAGACTAGTGCGTCAAATGAGAAGAAAGTGAAAGGAAGTGGGTGTGTGTTCATGTGTAACAGACAGAAATTTGCAATGTGAGCGTTTGAAGATTTAAAAGCTGCGGTGTATGTGCCGTGCACAGAAGGTTCGGAGAAGAGCGTCAGACATCAGAGGCGGCTTGTTTGTTGGAGAACAGTGCCTTCCCATGCCCACTTCAATCCCTTCAGTGACAGATCAAGATAAATCATTCCCAAAGCAGCGCACGGCATGACCACTGTACGCTTCTCAACATGAAATTCACTCATCAGCATTACATTCGGTTTCTGGCTTTTCACATTTTTCCCTCTACAGGGCTTAACGCTGACTTTTTTCCCAAGGAGCGCATTTAGGAACATTAGAGGCACCATGAATATATATCAAATAATGTGTTTTTCCTTAATAAAGGGATGCAAGGAGACATTTACAAGGATTTAATTTATTAAAATACAAAACTTATGCTAGGTTTTAAAATATTTCTGCTTCAAACTCTTTATTAATTATTTAAAGGGGTCATATGATGGTGCTAAAAAGAACATTATTTTATGTATGTGGTGTAATGAAATGTGTTTATGCGATTTAAGGTTCAAAAAACATATTATTTTCCACATACTGTATATTATTGTTTCTCCTCCATGCCCCGCCTTTCTGAAATGCGTCGATTTTTACAAAGCTCATCGTTCTAAAAAAAAGCGAGGTGTGCTTGGCCAGCTATCCAGTGCGTTGTGATTGGCCGAATACCTCAAGCGTGTGACAGAAATGTTACGCCCCTCACCATACTGTGATGATGCCCTGTCAGGCCCGAGCGATGATTCAAAAACATGAAAACCCATTATAAACGAGGCATCCGTTGCATCCAGTGGGGACATAATTATGGATTATAATGACTTATAATGTCTTTTTACGCGTTGCGTTGCATCGCGCCGCGTAAACATAAAACCATGTCTGCGTTTGTGATCGGAGAAATGACAAACAACAAGCGCTACTCTACACTGCCCAAAAAACTTGCTTTAAATATATAAAATATAAAAACTATTTAAATATAAAAAACGTACTTACAGTCTGTGAGTCAGAACAGCCGGCATTGTAGTCTACTCTACCAGGATCA